GCTTTGATTTGCCATTGTTATGCTAAGCTAGTGCCCCGGAGACCATGAGATCAATACATGTTAAGCTAACTGCCTGATAAATGTGCTGACTGCTTAACTCTCTATTTATCAACAAATAATGACTTTTCATACTCTGTACCTTTTTTATTAAGTGGCTAACTCTGACAAGATTTACGCTTTTTTCTTTCTTCGCTGTAAAAACTAACCTATGGAATCTACTCAATAAAACTATTGAGGTAACAATTTGCACTCAATTTGTTTGGGTTGATTTCATCTCTTGTTTTGAGTAAAAACTACCTAAATTTAACAACTGACACACTAAAAAGAAATTAGGTAAAGTATATTTAACATTTGTCAATACATTACACATCTACTTACAAAAAACGTGAGTAATATGTAGTAGAATAATTCATTTTAATGTCAAACATAACTGAACATTAAACACTAACAGGTCTATCCCTTTACTCAGAAACACATGAAATTACACTTTCAACATTTACTCTCCTGATCCAGCTCTATGTAAAGCATGCCATGAACTAAAAATCCACTGCGCAGTTTCAGTAATGCTACAAAAAAAGATTCTCGAAAAAGAAATTAAGTCAACTTTAGTTTTACAAATTTAAGTATCGGACATGTTTAAATTAAGTAGAAACAAAATGTTCAGCCATTGTAATTTAAATTTAACCAGTAATTTACTTTTTTTTTCTTTTCATTGATTTATTCATTCATTTTCTTTCTTTCTTTCTTTCTTTCTTTCAAGTTCATTAATTTATCTGTTATACCTTCTGGTTGTTGCTCATGGCTGTGAAACTGGGAATTATAGTTCAGTCTGCTACATTACCCACTGCCATCATTCACTTCCCCAGCAGCCAATCTGCTAATGAAACTCCAAACAAAAAACCTCTGGCCTGCAGCCACCCCGGCTTTCCTTAGTGATTCATACACAGCATACAATCTTTTTTAGCAGCTTTTATAGCATGCCACTATGCTAGAAAACAATATGTTATTCTTCAAAGACTCAGAAGTCAACTGAAAGATTACTGTAATCTGTAGTGTTAACCAGTGAGAAGGAAAATATTGATAATAATACTGTATCATGCCATTGATTTAAATTTCTTTAAAATTATATAACTATATCTAGATAATGATATCTAATTAATTTCCTGACAGTAGCGCTGAGCTGGTCTTTTCTTACTAATGATAGCATGTACAGTATGTGGAGAAATAAACAGGATTATGGCAGTCAGTAAAGAGAAAGTTTTCTGGTTCTATTATTGTAAGGGAAATGCCGATGTGCACTAATATTGTTTGCTCCGTAATGACTCTTTAAAGATGAGTACATCTTGAGATTATTGCTGAAAGCCTAGGATTTATCACGTGTGATAGTTAATAGAATTAAGCCAGCGTTGTGTTGACAGGAACAGCTGGGACCTTTGAGCGCTCTGCATATGTGGATGTTTGGTCCATCATTCTCAACAGAGCTGAGATACAACATCAGGATTAATCAGCAAAATCTTCCTAACCCCCTTTACTAAGATTTATTTCCTCTGTCTCACAGTAACACAGATCCTACAATTACAGATTGTTAGCAGGAAGCGGACAGTGGGGAGAGAGAAAAGATTTATGAAGAGACACTGATGAAGGAAAGATCTTGTAGTAGCTTAAACAATACACACACACACACACACACACACACACACAAACACACTAATG